GGAATTCTGGGAATTGAAGGCCACAAGTCTTAAAGTTGAGGAATTCTAGTTTGAAGAGCCCTGGTTTAGGGACTCCTGTCAGAGTGGACTAGAAGACCTCCAAGGTCCTTTCCAGCTTTTATTTCTATTTCTCTTCCCTTCTCTTCCATTCCATATTTTCTTTTCTATTCTATTCTATTCTATTCTATTCTATTCTATTCTATTCTATTCTAGTCTAGTCTAGTCTAGTCTAGTCTAGTCTAGTCTAGTCTAGTCCAGTCCAGTCCAGTCCAGTCCAGTCCAGATTTTCTATTCTGTTCTGTTACAGTTCTTTTCTATTCTATTCCATTCCAGTCCATATTTTCTGTTCTGTTCTGTTACAGTTCTGTCCTATTCCATTCCATTCCATTCCATTCCATTCCACTCTATTCCATTCTATTCCAGTCCAGCCCAGTCCAGTGCATATGTTCTATTCTGTTACAGATCTATTCTATTCCATCCCATTCCATTCCAGTCCATATTTTCTGTTCTGTTCTATTCTGTTCTGTTCTGTTACAGTTCTGTTCTATTCTATTCCATTCTATTCCAGTCCATATTTTCTGTTGTTCTCCACCCCACCCCACCCCACTCCACTCTATTCTTACCCTGACAACAACAGGCCCTTGAATCCAGAGAAAAATTACACTAATCTGGGATGAGTCTTCAGTGGTGAAATTGTCCTCCAATTATGGACCTTCAAGACTATAGATGGAAAACTCCCAACTTCTCAGTCGGAAAATAAGTCACGCAAACAAACTGCTCTCTGCTGCTGGCTAATTTCCTGCATCTCCACTTCTTTTTTCCCCTTCATCAGCAATGTAACTTTACCATTTGATGTAAATGCTCTATTATGCATTGGGCGTATTTTATGGACTTTCCTATAATGGGTTACAGCCGCACGGCCATTGACTTGCTACAGCTCTGCTTCCTTCCTGGAGGAAGGCAGATTTCGGAGCCCAAAGATACAAGGGATCCTTGACTTACAACCACAACGGAGCCCAAAATTTCTGTTGCTACGCAAGGCGGTTGTTAAATGAGATTTACCCCCTTCATTTTACAACTTTCTTGCCACCGTGCAAGATTTGGGTTTGGCTAGTCTAGAGAAAAGAAGGACTAGGGGGGACAGAATAGCAGTATTTGAGTATTTGAGGGGCTGCCACAGAGAGGAGGGGGGTCAGCTTATTTTCCAAAGCCCCAGAGGGCAGGACAAGAAACAACAGATGGAAACTAATCAAGGAGAGAAGCAACCTGGAATTAAAGAGAAACTCCCTCACAGGGAAGACAATTAACCAGTGGAAGGGAAGTTAACTTCAGAAGTTGTGGGTGATTCATCACTGGAGTTTTTCAAGAAAAGACTGGTCGGCCACTTGTCCCAAACCCCAAAACTTTAACCTTAGACTGTCTTCCATGGACCTCACCCCATTCCTAAGAGGTCAGTAAGGGGGCATGCATAAGCGCACCAGCGTGCCTACCGTCCCTGTCCTACCGTCCCCATTGATTTGTATCCATTTCATGTAATCCTAATCCTATTCTAATTATATCTGTTATCTAATACAGGCTTGACAAATAAATAAAAATTAAAATAAATAAATAAATTGTATAGGGGTCTCCTGTTTGAGCAGGATCTCCAAGATCCCTTCCAGCTCTATTCTAATTCCAATTCCAATTCTATTCCTCTGCTCTTCCCCCGTTGACTTTGTTGGTCAGAAAGTTGCAAAAGGGGATCACTGCAACCCTCACAAATGCAACGTACAACCCCAATTGGGCCCCCAAATGAGACGAGTCTTCTGTGAGAAATTGTCCTCTGATGATGGACTTTTAAAGGCTCTTGAAGTGTGAACCTTCACACGTGTGTGTGTGTGTGTGTGTGTGTGTGTGTGTGTGTGTGTGTTTAAAAATGTTGCTTGTGCAAAGGACACTAGCAGTAGCCCTTAGACTTATATACTGCTTCAGAGTGCTTTCCAGCCCTCTCTAAGGGGATTACAGAATCAGCCTCTTGTCCCCAACCATCTGGGTCCTCCTTTTGCCCACCTTGGAAGGACGGAAGGCTGAGTCAACCTGGAGCTGGTCAGGATTGAACTCCTGGCAGTGGGCAGAGTTAGACTGCAATACTGCATTCTTAACCACTATGCCACTATGGCTCTTAGATATATATAGACATAGATTGGATGGATGGATGGATGAAGAGAGAGAGAAAGGGAGGGGGAGGGAGGGAAACAGAGAAAGAAAGAGAGAGAGAGAGAGAGAGAGCAATGGCACATAGACTTATATACCGCTTCACAGTGCTTTCCAGCCCTCTCTAAGCGGTTTGCAGAGTTAGCCTCTTGCCCACAACAATCTGGGTCCTCATTTTACCAGCCTCGGAGGATGGAGGGCTGAGTCCACCGGTCAGGATCGAACTGCTGGTGGTTGCAGAGTTAGCCTGCAATACTACTAACCACTGCGCCACCTTATACATATCGAGATAGATTGGATGGATGGAGAGTCAGTCAGGCAGTCAGTCAGGCAGGCATAGAGATAGATAGCAACAGCCCTTAGACTTATATACCACTTCCCAGTGCTTCCCAGTCCTCTCGAAGCAGTTTACAGAGTCAGCTTCTTGTCCCCAACAATCTGGGTCCTCATTTGACCCACCTCGGAAGGATGGAAGGCTGAGCCAACCTGGAGCCTGGTGGGATTTGAACTGCCCAATTGCAGGCAGCCGAAGTCGCCTCACCTGCCCAGGCACCCAGCTTTTGGGGAGGAGGAACAAGTGAGGTGGGACCCGGCTGTGCCAGCCAAGCTCCCCTTCTGGGTTGGCTCCATCTTGGGCAAGACCGGGCTGCATGGAAGGGGAGGGAGAGAGGGGCGCCCTCCTTGTGCCCCGTGCCAAGCGCCCGGGCTTACCTGCCTGCGTCCGGGAGGCTCGCCGGCTGCTCAGGATCCGCCCGGCTGCTGCTGCCCAGCGGGCGCCGGGGGTTTGCTTGCTTGGCTTCGGGGCTGCAGCCAGCCGAGCCTGGCGCCAGGGCGGGCGCCGAGTGACCCAGCGTTGGCGGCGCTCGCTGTTCCTCGCCCTGCTCGCTCGCTAGCTCGCTCGCTGCCCCAGCCCAGGCACGTCGGAACCCGCCCCTTGCAAGCGGAGGGCGGGCCAGCCCGGCCTCGCCCCGTCTCGGGGGCTGCGGCGGCCTTTGCTAATGGGGGGGGGGGGGGGGGGGAGGGGGGGGGGGAGAGGGGGGGGGGGAGGAAGAGGTGGAGGAGGGAGGAGGAAGAGGTGGAGGAGGAGGAGGAAGAAGAAGAAAAGGAGGAAGAAGAGGAGAAGGATGAAGAGGTGGAGGAGGAGAGGAGGAGGAAGAAGAGGTGGAGGAGGAAGAGGAGGAAGAAAGGAGGAGGGGGAGGAGGAGGGGAGGAGGAGAGGAGAAGGAGGAGAGGAAGAGAGGAGGAGGAAGAGAGGAGGAGAAGGGGAGAGGAAGAGGAGGAAGAGAGGAGGAGGAAGAAGAGGTGGGGGAGGAAGAGGAGGAGAGGAGGAGAAGGAGGAAGAGGTGGAGAGAAGGATGAAGAGGTGGAGGAG